GGGCGGCGGGAACGGCGCGAGCGGCGGCGGCCAGGGAAGCTCCAAGCGGCGGCTGGATGCACCTGAGGGCGGCGGCGGGGCGAGCCCCGGCGGCCGCAGCAGCGTGTTCGAGCTGCAGGTGGCCGACACCCCGGACGGCGAGAAGCAGCCGCAGCTGATCGTGAAGGGGGCGCTGGACCGCGAGCAGCGCGACTCCTACGAGCTGACCCTGCGGGTGCGCGACGGCGGCGACCCGCCGCGCTCGTCGCAGGCCATCCTGCGCGTGCTCATCACCGACGTGAACGACAACAGCCCCCGCTTCGAGAAGAGCGTGTACGAGGCCGACCTGGCGGAGAACAGCGCCCCGGGCACCCCTATCCTGCAGCTGCGCGCCGCCGACCTGGACGTGGGGGTCAACGGGCAGATCGAATACGTGTTCGGGGCGGCCACCGAGTCGGTGCGGAGGCTGCTGCGCCTGGACGAGGCGTCGGGCTGGCTCAGCGTCCTACACCGCATCGACCGCGAGGAGGTCAACCAGCTGCGCTTCACCGTCATGGCGCGAGACCGCGGACAGCCCCCTAAGACTGACAAGGCCACGGTGGTCCTCAACATCAAAGACGAGAACGACAACGTGCCTTCCATTGAAATTCGTAAGATTGGGCGCATCCCACTCAAGGACGGGGTGGCTAACGTGGCCGAAGATGTTCTGGTCGACACCCCAATCGCCCTGGTGCAGGTGTCCGACCGAGACCAGGGCGAGAACGGGGTTGTCACCTGCACCGTGGTAGGCGATGTGCCCTTCCAGCTCAAGCCCGCTAGCGACACAGAGGGCGACCAGAACAAGAAAAAGTACTTTCTGCACACCTCTGCGCCTCTGGACTATGAGACCACCCCGGAGTTCAACGTGGTCATAGTGGCCGTCGACTCGGGCAGCCCCAGCCTCTCCAGCAACAACTCTCTGGTAGTCAAGGTGGGGGACACCAACGACAATCCTCCTGTCTTCGAACATTCCGTGGTGGAGGTTTACTTCTTCGAGAACAATGTCCCAGGAGATAGGGTCGCCACAGTGAAGGCTACAGACGCAGACAGCGGCAAGAACGCGGAGATTGCCTACTCGCTGGACTCCTCCGTGATGGGGATCTTTGCCATCGATCCCAATTCTGGGGACATCCTCGTAAATACGGTGCTGGACAGAGAGCAGACTGACAGGTATGAGTTTAAAGTTAACGCCAAAGACAAAGGCATCCCGGTGCTCCAGGGCAGTACTACTGTGATTGTGCAGGTGGCTGACAAGAATGACAATGACCCTAAGTTTATGCAGGACGTCTTTACCTTTTATGTGAAAGAAAACTTGCAGCCCAACAGCCCGGTGGGTATGGTCACCGTGATGGATGCTGACAAGGGGAAAAATGCAGAGATGCGACTCTACATAGAGGAGAACAGTAACATTTTTTCCATTGAAAATGACACGGGGACCATTTATTCCACAATGTCCTTTGACCGGGAACATCAGACCACCTATACTTTCAGAGTCAAAGCTGTGGATGGGGGCGATCCTCCCAGGTCTGCCACAGCCACAGTCTCTCTCTTTGTAATGGATGAGAACGACAATGCTCCCACAGTTACCCTTCCCAGAAACATTTCCTACACTTTACTGCCACCTTCAAGTAATGTCAGGACAGTAGTAGCTACAGTGTTGGCAACAGACAGCGATGATGGCATCAATGCAGACCTTAACTACAGCATTGTGGGAGGGAATCCCTTCAAGCTGTTTGAGATTGATTCCACTAGTGGTGTGGTTTCCTTAGTGGGGAAACTCACCCAAAAACATTACGGCTTGCACAGGTTGGTGGTCCAAGTGAATGACAGTGGGCAGCCTTCCCAGTCCACCACCACTCTGGTGCATGTGTTTGTCAATGAAAGTGTCTCTAATGCAACTGTAATTGACTCTCAGATAGCCAGAAGTTTGCACACCCCACTCACCCAGGACATAGCTGGTGACCCAAGCTATGAAATTAGCAAACAGAGACTCAGTATTGTCATTGGAGTGGTTGCTGGGATTATGACAGTGATTCTGATCATCTTAATTGTAGTGATGGCAAGGTACTGCAGGTCCAAAAATAAAAATGGCTATGAAGCTGGCAAAAAAGACCATGAGGACTTTTTTACACCCCAACAGCATGACAAGTCGAAAAAGCCTAAAAAGGACAAGAAAAATAAAAAATCTAAGCAGCCACTTTATAGCAGCATAGTCACTGTAGAAGCTTCTAAACCAAATGGACAGAGGTATGATAGTGTCAATGAGAAGCTGTCAGACAGCCCTAGCATGGGGCGATACCGATCTGTTAATGGTGGGCCTGGCAGTCCTGACCTGGCAAGGCATTACAAATCTAGTTCTCCATTGCCTACTGTCCAGCTTCATCCCCAGTCACCAACTGCAGGAAAAAAACATCAGGCCGTACAAGATCTACCACCAGCCAACACGTTTGTGGGAGCAGGAGACAACATTTCAATTGGATCAGATCACTGCTCTGAGTACAGCTGTCAAACCAACAACAAGTACAGCAAACAGGTAAGAAGTGTTCCCAATACATTTAATTACGATCCTAGAAAAGGCTTAATAACTGAGACAGCATCTTATGTAAAGTTTTGTCTTCTGTTTTCTAATGCTATTTAAAATTTATAGTAGCAGGAATTTAATGTTAATCCACGCACCATTAACAAAGCAGAGGCCATCTATGAAGGACGCAGCACTGTATTTTGTGAGTTAGACCTAAGGTTCACTAAACTACTAAAGGAAATAAAGTAGTATTTTGCACTTCTCATTGCAGTTGGCAGCCTAATTCATCTACCTTTCCTGTCTCCAGAATAAATATGTATAAATGTGTTTGGATAGTGAGCTTGAACCAGAAAATTTCCACTTTTGTAGCTACTAAATGGATAATTACATCCAGAGAGAACATTTCTAAAGTTACTACTGATGCAAATTGGACACTGTAAAAGTTTAGCTATGTTATACATTATTCAAGATTTTACAGGTAAGCAGATGCTGATTCATGCAAATATAGTATCAAGTCTACAATACTGAAGTACTGACTATTTTGCCAGAAACACTGGTTGAAAAATATTTAATGATAATGCAAATGTTGTACAAAACTACATTGATATCTATAAAGATCAAGTTTCTATGTCAACTATTTGCAAGCATTTGCATTCTTCATGCTCAATATTAAAAGTTTCAAAGCAAAAATTAATTGCATGAGCCAATTATTGTTCCATCCAAGACATAAAATGTTAATCATTGATGCACACTGTGTATGAGTATTTTGCTATGCATTGTGATATATGGAGAATATGTTGGATATGTGGAATACTTGACATAGTTGCTTCTTGGTGAAATGGAAACTGGGAAAAAATATATATATATATATCTACCCTGAGGTGAACTTGAAAAAATATAAAATTTGTTTTTGAAAGCTTTGCTTATGTAATATATAACACTCAGAAAGTTTACTTTTTATACTCACCAAAGTTTATTTGACACAGAGCAAATAAAACTTTTTGGAAACTGCTGGGTCTAATACTGTAGCAAGCTCCCCTAAATATCACATACACTTTTACTGCTAGAACTCACCTCAAAAACATATTTATTATGACAGTCAAATAACATCAAGTAATAGTTTCTATTAAATACATTTGGCATGTTGAATGTGGAAGAATTTAGGCAAAGGGAAAAGTTATTTTACAGTCATAGAACTCATTGAAGATGTATAGGACAGGGATATTAAGTCCTTATTGCATGCAAAATTATTAACACTAGCTTTCTAAATAAACTTTTTATGTACAAACTACTTTTACTATAGATATTTGGACAAAGATAAATAAACATATATGCTTTTGTAGCCAATAGTCACAACGATCCGAGGAAGCACAGGTTTGAAGTACACTCCATCAAATGCCTTTTGATATTATGTCTTTTGATATACGTGAGTGTGAGGTATTTATTTATTTTACCTGGAAATTTGACCGAATGGGGAATTTATATCTGTTGTGTCATTGCTTTATCTGGCATTAGAAGAAGTTTCTTTTGTTTTGGTACCTTTAAGATTTTTGTAACCAAGGATGAATCCCATTAAAATAATAGCATATTTTTAATTTTATGTGTAAACAGCCACAAATAAATTGAGAACTCTTGGTATTTCCCTAGAAAATGGTAAAATGGAATGTAAACTTTGAAGAGGTCAGCTGTCATCCAATTGGTACTTTTTGTCCTGTGACTGAAAGGTATTTGCATTCTCAATTGTGTTATCTTATGCTCTTGAGTGGCCACATCAAGTTGCAAATTTATAGATATTTTATGCAAACACCTCATATGTTCTGTGCTGTCACTTAAGCTTCATTTGGCTCCATAGACAGGGTCAGTTCAATATTCTTAAATATTTAAAAAAGCTAATATCAAGACTGTTGGCATCCTGTTTAAAAGGCAAAGTGATACACTTATAAATAAACTAATGTGTGGTGCTAGTCTCTTAACTGAGCAAAGTAGTCCACATATCAAAAGAGAAAACTCACAAAGCCATTGGAATGAGTTAATTGTGCAGTTTGCCAAAAGTGATGTTGAGAAACTAGTATGTCATTGGGTATTCAAAAGATGTATAAAGTTTTAACCACAAGTAAATAGTTGACCTAAAATGAAATGAAGGAAAATGAAACACGTTCCCCTTAATGTAATTAGTGCTAGTAATTGATACACTTCATCTGCTCAATATTGCTGTCAGGGGACAGGGGATCCATCTGCAAAGGTACATCTGACATCATGAACAGGATCCTTTCTGTTTTGGTTTTTGTCTGGGCCATAAGCAGATGGTTTTCTATCATCATTTTAAAAATGATGTTGCCTTTAGTTTTTTGAACTGCCAAAATATGTACCTTTGATTCAACTTAGTGTAAAAGAAAAAAAAAAGAATGCAGGATATTTTTATAATTTCATCTCTTTTGATACTCAGCTTGTCTGAGGAAAACTTGAGGGTTGCATTCTTTTAATTCCTTCCAGGATGTTAATTGAAACTCTGAGATCTCATCTGACTTAAAGTCTTCATTTCTATTTATATCTCCTTGAATTGCCATATCATAGTTCTTTATAAGTGATAAAGTCTAAGTGATGTGTCTTACAGTTCTGCTATCTTTATGGATATTAGACTTTTCGAAGTGTTCCTCAGAAGTCCTGTTTATGGCTGTACTCAAATAAGTTGAACAGCCTTGTAGAAATAAAAGTCTGTAACAACCCTCTCCCTTTTTTTGTCATCTTTTTCCCACAGGCTCTAGAAACTTTCAAATCCAGATTTTATAGTTACTCTTCGACAGGGTTTCTGGAGTTATTTCTGAAATTCAGTTACTAAAGAGAGAAACCGATGATGACTAGTCCAGGTTTTCATAGTTCAGACCTTTGGAATTGAAACAAAAGCCTTACTTTACTCTTCATAACTGAATGTGTTTGTTGAACACAGCGTGCATCTTTGACAGAATTATTGAGATTGTGTCCACCTTGCCACTTTTTTTCTTCTTTTGCCTGGTAAACCTGGCCATGGTGGTGTTAGTTTTATGACTTGCAGTACAACTGTACTTCTGTACTTTTGATGTATATAATACAGGCAAGACTGTTTTGGTTTGTTTACTTGTTTTAAATCTCCAGTGTTTCACTGAGTTCAATGAGTATTTTTCTCAATTTTCTTTTAAAAAAGTAATATAATTCCAAAAGATTAATAAAAACCAAAAAAATTAAATTAACAGACAATGCAAAAGTACAATTGCCACTTTCTACCTTATTCTCAAATGCTGTTTAGTTTATCTTTGTGATGCTGTTACTTAGATAATGTATTCACAAGTAATATTTTATTTTATTTAGTAAATGGAAAGTAAGGTACTTTATTTTGGGCAAGGAGAAAGAGCATACAAATTGAATAAATATTAATTTTAAAAGCCATTAGTAGCTGATCCTGAGATAATCAAGAAAAAAAAATGCATATGAATCCCACTGGCAGTTCTCTTTGCATAAGGAACTGCTGAATTGAATCTGAATAATGCTTCCTTTAATTGATCAAATTTTGTTCAATACAGTGTATACTTAGGAAAATATAGCACAATTTATTTTTTAAATTATTTGCATTTTGGAAGCAAGTGGATTATTTGCCATCATGTAGTAGACTTATGAGCCATAAGAAGGAAGTACCAATTTTATTTGTGTATTATATTACACTATAAATACTATAGTAAAAATTAATCTGTGTAATGATGCTGGTGACTGCTCCAGTTTTAATCCTTTAAAATAATTGCTGTAGTTCTGTAATATAATTCTCCTGTCTACAATCAGTAACACTTTCCAAAGGCACAACTTTTGTACGTATGGTGGGATTTCATTTACGTTTGGCCTGATATCATGGGGTAAAAACTAATAACTGATGCAAGTTAGGTCTGGTCTTTAGTCAGGAGGTATCTATTCTAGCAACATTATTTGCACCTTTGGATATCTATGAAATAAGGAAAATACCACCAGCTGATTTGATCCACAATGAGTATGCAATTTTGTATGTAAGTCTATGTATGGCAATTTGAATCTTATCCCAGACTTACCATAAAATAATTAGTGAGTTATATACTAGATCATAAAGTCAATTTAAAGATTGAAATAAATTATACACCTGGAAAAATACAGTATAATCATTCTTTCTTGCTGTTCTCTATCTTTGATTAATTGCATGCCTCATATGTAAAAAGTATACACATGATATATATGATAAACTGTCTTTCTACACACACACAAATACACTCCCAGAGATACCCACATGTATTCTTATATATCAACTGTGGGACTGTTACACTTTTATTGCACTGTATTTGTAAATTGGTATATGGGAAACATCTGAACCTTAAACACTTACAAAACCAAAACAAAATAGACTGTACTCAGCATTGTCATTACCATACCTAAAATGATTAGCATGGTCACATTTTAGAATTAGAAGTTACCAGGCAGGTCAGTCCCTTATTTTATAGGAAAGATGACTGAGTCCCAGTATGGAATCAGGACCACAAAATTATTAGGGATACAATGTGAACTAGAACTCAAGCCATGGATCTCAGAGTTCATTGTTCTTTTTCAGCTTAACATACTATCTCTAGCAAAAAAAAAAAATAGAATTCTTCTAACGTTCTCTGTGTATATTAAAATAGCTACAGAAATCCATTGAGATTTGCTTTTGCATGTGTAATTTCATATGTTCCACTATCAAGATTGACATTTTGATAATAGAATATAATTCTGCTTTAGGCTCTAGTTCTTATCTACAGAATGATCAGAGGGAAATTATAATTCAAATTTTACAGAATTCAAAAAGAAATAACCATTCTTTCCCTCCTTTCTGAAGGATAGCAATTGATGACATACATTAAAGTACTTAAAATGCTTCAGAGCATGTATTCAACAAGTTAACTGACAAGAGTTTTGAGGATTAGCATAAGAAAGGTAACAAATGTCAGCCCTTACCTAGCATTAAGTTTGTCTTCAATAAAAAT